ATATATATATATATATATATATATATATATATATATATATATATATATATATATATATATATATATATATATATATATATATATATATATATATATATATACAGTGTGTCTAAAAAAACCCCGGAAAAAAACGGTATGGAAATTCAACAGGCTGTCGTGCATCATAAACGTGGCTAAACAATTAAATTGTTACATACGATTAAGCTTTTCAATGCGGATACTCTTTTTAAATCGCAACGATGAGAAATGGCTACATACTCGTCAAATAAAAATTGCCGGTCGAAATCAAATTCTTCCACCGTTGGGGATTGGATGGAAAACGAACCACAGATAATTCCCAAGACGGAATTAAAATTGAATGTTAAATTATCTAAAATGAGCTCAACTCATCGATCTTCGTCTTGGTGAGACAATAACTCAATAAGAACGTCCATAAAACATGGTTCAATTAACCCCTGAACAGAGAAGATTCGTAATCAAAACGTTTTACGCAACAAATGGCTTGCAGGTTGCTTGCAGCAGGCTTGCGTTGCTTTTGGATTGACAAACTTTAAGGTATTCTCAATTCCCAACGGTGGAAGAATGTGATTTCGACCGGCAATTTTTATTTGACGAGTATGTGGCCATATCTCATCGTAACGACTTAAAAAAGGTATCATAGAGAAGCTAAATAACAGCTCTTTCGTCCTCTGTAATAATTGAATTGTTTAACGAAGTTTATGATGCACGGCAGCCTGTTGAATTTCCATAGCGCTTTTTTTTAGACACCCTGTGTATATATATATATATATATATATATATATATATATATATATATATATATATATATATATATATATATATATATATATATATATATATATATATATATATATATACTGTAGAGCTCGACAACTGGCCTCTGTAGCTCAGTTGGTTAGAGCGCTGTACCGGAATCGCATTGCCTCAGCTTCGATTCCTGCCAGTTGCATTTTTCGCATCTATTCCTGATTAAGGTCTAATAGATGTATATAAATTTCCACTTGATAATTTCCATCTACAAGATCCTTCCACTATTATTCAATCGAGTGAGATGCCGACAAAATCTTGATATTGCAATGACAATCATTTTATCATAATCCGCACCGTGCAATATGGCACTATAATGCAGCATTAATATATACCACGAAGCGTAGTGGGGGCATTTTTAGGACACTCATGCAGGCAAAAAGGAAAAGCGCACCCCATGCACATCTGTATGGTTATTCGGTCGGTATATCTCATAGACTATACATAGTAAAATCAAACATACTGCGGCAGGTATGTCGTGTTCGTAATGTTCACGAACTTCTTCCCAATTGCAGCATTCAGAATAGCATTCATGGTTTAGATCGCGACGATCACGTTGGAAGAATTCCGTGGCTGCTTCACGTTTCAACATGACATCTTCCATAACACCACCTGTTTCATCAACTGCAAATGAAATTATTATTTTGTTGTCTCCTGTGTAGCAGTAATGAATAAGATAAGCCATTCTGAAATATATAGACGGGGCTGGCTGAGTGTTTAAAAAGCATATAACACAATGAAGAAATGAAATCAACCACCGGAAACAGTCCTTTAAAACTGGTAACAAACTTTCAAACATTTCGAGAATTATTATGAAATACATGCTTACTACATGTATATAAGTATATATTATGTACATAATTTTAGCAATTTGTAAAAGCTATATAGGATTCATATTACTATATTTATCTAAATTTGATTAAACTTTGTATACCCAGTCTATTATATAGTTATTTTGAGATTGCAATAGTTGAGCATGCATTTCTTCATTTTGTAATTATTCGTAACACTCGTTGATTAAAAAATCTTACGTTCGGTTTCCGTAGCACCCTTCTTCCATGAATAAAAACCGCCTTCCTTAAAGCAAATGAGGACTGTTTCTTTGCCATCGCTGCCTTTAATCAATTCACGTCGGCCGTAGTTCTCTTCATTGCACGGTCCAAGACCATGGTTGGATTCAACTGGCTCCTGCGTTGCAAATTGAATAAAGTTGTACTATGGTTGTATTAGGTGCATGCTGTATAATATTTATACAACAACGTTAAACCTGTATATTTTCTTAACATGGAACAAAAATTATGCATTTGCTGATTTTGGCTTTCCACGTATTTAAGATATAACTGCATGTGTAATGTTCCCATTCCTGATTTCGTCTCGTTTTTTGGGGACTGGGATGTGAAAAAAACATTTTGGTTATACTTACGATTTGCTTCAAAATTTGTCATATTTTCTTATTTGCATGTGTGCAAAATAAGGGAAAATGTGAACTATATGGTTGAGCCATGATTTTTCTGTATATATACCAGGTGATCTTGATACGCGGAAAAGTACTGGCACTAGTTGTCAAATAGAAATCCATTTTATGATTAAAACAACTGAATATCTCCTGTAAAATACTTTATTTCGATTCCATATTTTTGTCAGAGCTATAGTTCTCATAACCAAACATAATTACAAAATTTCAACTAGTTTCATAAAGAATAATGAAAGATATAATTGACTGAATACATCAAAATGGATTTCTATTCGAACAACCCTTTCTGAGCGCTGATTGGCTAAAATACGAACACGAGATCACCTGGTATGTATCAACTGTTCTCTTGTATTGTCATAAAACCACAATGTTAATGTGTACATATTGGCGAGCAGATATGATTATCTTGCCTTTACTTACCGCGAAAGAAAAAGATATCCATGCTGCAAAAGTGATGATGAAAACGTGCAAATACATGATAGAAATTTCTGAAACAATTGTGAACAAATAGACTCGAAACCAAATCTAAATGAAGAATTTAAATAGATATGTAAAAGGTTTGGTCGTTTGGAGAAGATTGCTTCGACAAAAAATAGTTTTTCAAAAGCTATTTCTTCAGGACGAACTTGTTGGGCGCGTACGAAGCAAACAATGTGATTAGTTAGCAAAAACATTTGCAGCGAAAAAGTATAGGTCTTTCGATCCTATAGTTATTATATACAACTTCAGCAGATGGTTCTTCTAACTATTGAGCCAAGTATACATATATAAGGAGGAATTGAGCGCAAGGATTGAAGAAACGAAACTGATATAAACTAAGTGTCTACAACTACGATATTGAGCTAGCCAATTCCTTTGATACAGACAATTAAGAAACAATTATAGTAGCTATTAAAAGTAATGTTTATACCTGTTTAGCTTTTGAGACGAGTTCCTTCGTATGTGCCACCAAGTCGCAACTGAATAAAACGTATACGTATGTGCATAGTTATATTAAAACAACAAGTCACTGGAAATCACTTTCAAACTTGGTTTCAGCAAAGCGCTGAAGTGTCAGACTGTGTGGACTTCCCACGTACAAAGCACAGGATGGAAACAAGTTAACTGCATGTGTTGTGGGTCTATTGTATAGGGGGTTGGTCGTTTCGCAAACCGTCATAATTTTGTCTCTTTCATCGTTACCGCCAGTATTTTCTTAATTAGTGAATACCGCAACCGTAATTTTTCTTATTCAGTAAAAGTTTACCGGCCAGAGACTTCGCAACGACGGGAGGTCAAAGGGGGCAGATTTTCAATGACAAACATCTAACTTATATATATATATATATATATAATTGTTGTCTTTTCTACTTAAAATTAATTAAGTCGCAACTCTGAGTTTCAACACATACATCGCCTTGTCGCCTGAAGATCGTGAAAACGTGAAACTCAGAGTTGCGACTTAATTAATTTTAAGTAGAAAAGACAACAATTATAAAGCTCTACTAATATTGGTGTTGAGCACTCTTCGAACTACTCAGTGCGTTCATACTTTTGTTTGAATCAACGATATATATATATATATATATATGAATCTCATGCGAAGCATCTGCAGTTGGGGTGTGAGATGTTAAAGAATTTTACTTGAATAGGAACTTAAATCATGTTAAATGTTACCTTCATTGTATTAACCATATTCATGCAGTTATACTCGCATGTTTTGGGTGCCTCGCAAGTTGCAGACATAAATAGAACACAATATCTCTCTGACGAATTTCAACACTGCATATATAACTATATAACTATTAGGCTATCGCAAGCTTGTAAGGGAGTACAGACATCCTGCTGGCTGTAGGTATTGGTTTTTTTACCGCCCTTTCAGTTCTGAACAAAGAAAATTAAAAACAAACTATTACACCTGTTCATTATAGAAAAAATACTCAAGCTTTTTATAATGTTTAAGTACAGAAGGTATAGGAAACCGGACATTACTAAACCACGAAACAGCGAAACAACGAAACAACGAAACAGCGAAACGAAACAGCGAAACGAAACAGCGAAACAACACGTTTTATATTATTTTTAGTAAAAGGAATAAATTATATTTAAGTCAAACTAAAACGAAGTTAGACGAGATGAAATTAAATCCTTAATTAAGTTACAACCGTACAACGTCATCACGGCATCAGCACATAATAGTCTCAGTAGGTAAAACTGAGTAAAATAAGCATCAAAACTGTGACATGCACGTTTACCCAAATTCAAGAATGTTTTAATTCATGTACGGTATGTTTTATTACTATTAAGTATTAGTGAAACCTTTACAAATCCATAGGCATAGGAGGCCCAATAGTTAATATTGTAATATATAGGCACCAAAAAGACTAAAATACTTAAAAATCCGATACAATTTCATAATGAGAATATTTGAATAAAGTAACTCCATAGCCATAGATGAATATTTGAATAAAATAACTCCATATAGTTCAATATTTACAATCTAAATTACCTAATCCTCGAATTAATTTTGTCATAAAACCTATTATAGTTTGAACTCGTGTAATAATAATTTTATTTGTATAATACTAATTTTCAAGGCATGTAATAGCCGTTTTGACTTGGTCTTGGAGTCGGTTGACTTGGAGTCGTTTTGACTTGGGGCCGTTTTGACCGAGCATCCCGGCCACACACATGCTCGTTTCACAGCCAAAATTTAATGTCAAAACAACATGAAGACTTCAAAGAAATTATAACAGAGGAAACTTTGATAGTATTCGAAAAGCAGAAGAGTTTCTATCCTTCTCAATATTCCATAATAAAGATTAATACGTGAGACTATTAGAATTAAATTAAATTGTTACCAGTAATACTTTTATGAATTATGTGCTGATGGCGTTGTAACTTTAAGGATTTAATCTCGTCTAACTTCCTTGTAGTTTGACTGCCTTGAAACAACTAAACTCTAAAAAAGCCACCGGGTCCGATGGGATTCCAGCATGGGTGCTTAAACGATACTGTGAAGAACTAGCGCCCATCGTTCATGACATTATTTGCGCTAGTATAAAAGAATGTGAATATCCAACTGCGTATAAACACGCCTTAGTTATCCCAGTTCCGAAGGTCAATCCACCAAGAGATATCGAGAATGACTTTCGCCAGATATCCATTCTTCCCCAAATGGCTAAAGTGCTGGAAAAGCTGCAGCTCAAACTGAACCTTCCCAGTTCACGTATAAATGATAATCAGCGTGCCTTTACAAGCAAACGATCAACCGTGTCCGCACTCACCAACATCTCGCAGAACTGGTTTAATGTGACCGACAATACTCATGGCGCCAAAAATGGAGTTCATGCACTATTCATAGATTTTCGCAAAGCGTTTGACCTTGTTGACCACGGAATTCTACTTCGTATAAGCTCGCAGAAATGAATCTAACCAAAGCCTTTTGGCTATGGACGCGTAGTTTTCTGGAAGATAGAAGACAACAGGTCAAACTAGCAGGGACCCTATCATCGGTCAAACCTTGTCCTGCAGGAGTCCCACAAGGTTCTGTGATGTCCCCCGCTCTTTTTAATATTCACATTAACGATATTGAGAACTCAATCCCAGATGGATTATCCATAAACATATGCAAATACGCGGATGATTATACACAGGACGAAGTGGTGTCACAAGGTTCATCCAGCCATATGCAGGAGGCCCTTGAAGCAGTACAAGAATGGTCTAATAGGAACAAAATGACGATAAATTCGAAGAAAACAAAAGATATGTGGATATGTTTTAACACAGCAATACCGGCACCAGAACCATTGGTCATTGGAAACGAGGTAGTGGAAAGAGTA